AGTATAGAGGTCACTGTGTAAACCGATAGAAAAGTAACCATCAGCAAATACTGCAGTGATTAGTTAGAATCTGTATTATTCCTTATATATATGTATATGTATGTATTCTCTGTTACACAGGATGAAGATAAATAGGGATACATTTCAATGTAAACCATTTATGAATTGGAAGTGATGTTGGCTTTAGTTATCTTTGTAAATAAGGTAATTAGAATGGTATGAAAGGTAATGTGATTATTGCGGGGGTGTTTTTAAATCTTGGGTATAAATTCTAGGGTAAATTCCAGTTTATCAAGACTAGTTTTTATGGGACCTGCCTTTGAGGGTGTTTTTTGTTATTTTGTTAGGGAGGGGGTTAATCACAAAGTGTATGGGTTTGGGTTATTTCTTGTTTTTATTTTTCTGTCCAGAAGAGCTTTACCAGGCTGTGCAAAGTAAAATTCTTCTCAGGCAACATTTGCTTTTAAAAATAATCATGAAGAGCAAGGTTGTTAAAGCAAAAATTTTTTTTTAAATTTTTTCTTGTCTTCCAAGATCCGATTTCCCCATCTCCTACTTGCCATCCAGCAGATGCCATCTGTCATCCAAGCTGGTCATTGCTAATAAACAAGGAGACTGTCTCCTGACAGCCAGCACTGTGTATTATCACTCAGGAACCAGCGGATCTGCAAAGACCTACAATCAAAAGCAAATCCCCATTTTCCTTTTATAAAACATTCTACCCTCACCTCCAGTATAAACAAATTAAAAGAGTACAATAAAAATGTTTAAAATCATGTACTAATAAAGTCATTGTATGTTAGAATTGCAATAGAATGGAGAGAAACATTTAGCTAGTAACGTATCTGAAAACTGAATGTCCTATGTGAGTATTAGATTTTAATAGCATGCTTTAAAGACTGATGAATATAAAAGCAGAACTTTTGCGTTTTTTACTGCTTTCAAACCTGTATCCTAGTTTAGTGATACAAATGATTGCAATTTTTCTAAATCATTAAATTACTTGGTTTGGTGGAGTGAGGCATGGAGCAATTTGGCGTCTTCTGATTTGTTAAAGTAGTGATGGCAGTAAAGTTGTAGCTGAAATTTAAGCTGATCTTCCTTTTTGGTATGTTATCCGTTGTGCCAGCTCTTGAGATTACTTGCACAATGTGGCTATAAGTTTTAATATTTTGTGGAGCAGAGGGATGTTTTTAAAATGTGCTTATGGAAAGGACCCAATAAATGAATATTCCTAACTTAAGTAGAATAATTTTATGGTATCCATTAAAAAGGATAAAACTCTTCCCCTTGCCCCAGAAGTAATTCTCTATACCAAGATATGCTAGGAGTAGATGTTGATTCAAAGTGGTAACCCAAATTCATAAAGCAATAATAAAAACCTACATATTATGTTCCCTCCTCCAAAGTTTTAACTCTTTAAAATTAATTCCTAGGTTTAATTGTACTTTTAATTTGCTTATTCAGTACTTAGAATTTGTTTAACTGCTACTTTATTTTTTAGTGAAAGACTTTTGAAAAGTGCCCTTTTCCCTTAAGAGACAGTTGGAATACCAGCTGACTAATATTACAAGCTCTTGTAGGGGGAAAAGGAGCTTATTAAAGTTCTTTACTAAACTTTGGGAAAAGATGTCTTGCATCAGTCTTACTAGGCACAAAAGTCACACTTAATGACTGGAAAAAACTTGCTTATTGCCTTTCCCTATATAAATATTATTGTCTAGAATGAAAGAATATAGGAACAAGACTCTCAAATCCATAAAAACCCTTAGTGAATATATTCTTAATCATTAATATTAGCCCATTATATTTCCATCTGTATTTGCCATAAAAAATTTATTTGCATTTATGCCTTTAGGATAATTTTGTATCTTTCTAATCTGTTTTATCATTGCTACAGGTTTTTAAAAAAGAAACTTTCATTAGCTAGCACATGCCAGAGGTTCACCTCTGTGCTAAGTTGTTTTTCAGACAGGTTGTAGCTGTATTTATTGGCCATGCAAGTAGAGGAAATGCACAGTACAAATGTTTTTCTTTAGCACGTAAGGGACCTATCCTTGTCTTGAAAGTTTGTTGCTTTAAAAGCAAGTATCTCTCCATAAATATTATGGCCTTCCATTTTCTTCATACATTTTTTAGGATCCACTTGTGCATGTAGTTGAGACCACTGTCTCTTAAAATATAGCACTTTTCAATTCTAAAGAAATACTTATGTACTACTATCACATGTTGTAAATTTTCATGTAATAGTGTTTTCTGTGACTAAACTCCATTTTGATTGGCAGCTAAGACTTTTTTTCCTGTGGCTTTTATTTATCTAAGAGGTCTTTGCATATAGATGAAATGTATATTTGCCTGGCGGACTATTTTCGTTGTGTGGCCTTAGTTTGTTTATTGACATTAACGAGTGTTTTAAAAAGGTTTTTAATGAATAGTCTTAAATCTAAATTTGTGTGAATAATCCTTTTAACTCAGTGCTTTTTTGTAGCTGTCTAAGTGTGTTAAATTGTTAAGCTATTTCTTTGTAAAATAGGACAATGGAATGCATAGTTTTTTTTTTTTTCCTGTAAAGTATTTTTTTAATAAACAAAGTCTGATTTGTCCTTTACTGGTGTTTCATCTCAAAATGCATAGCATATGTGAGTTCTAAATACCTGGAACCTGTTTTTAGAGGACGAACCCTTCACTTTCTGTATCCCCTACCACTTAAAAAATTTTAGAAAATCTTAGACTTTTCTTTCCTAAAGATATCTGGGGAAAATTCCATCCATATTGAGATGCAATTAGTTTGGAGGAAGAAAAAAATACCTGGCATTTGTTGTAGTTATGCCTCTTATTGCTTAAATTGGCTTGTTTCTACTTAAAAGAGGACAGTCTTAACTTTTTATTCTGGTGATATGGATTTTCTTAAACATGCATTGAGTACTAGTGAAGATGGTCTATAGACTTTTATGTCATTGATGTATTAACGCAACACAACAAAATGGATTTATTTTCTCCTCAGTTTTTGTATGAACTTTTCTTTAATTGAAGTACCTGTCCCAAGCACTGTTAGCCTTTGGTTCTGATTATGAAAAGAAAATAAAGGGACTTAATATTTTTTAACTTCCACGGGCCAGGCAGTTTATATGAGGGTATCTCATTTAATCCCTACATCCTTAAGAAAGTAACTATCTCCGTAATACAGGTGAGAAAACAGGCTTGTTAGGTTGAACAAATTGCTTAAGATCACAGATTATTGGTTGGGAGAAAGGATTCACACATCTTGTTCGCTAATTGCCTTAGGAAGCATTGAACAGTTTCCAACACGGCACCTGAAAAATGGTTTGCTACTTAACACTATTCTCTAATTCTACTTACCTGATTCGGTTCCTTCACACACTCTCCTCTAAATCTTGTGTGCCAAACGATGAAGTAAAGTTCTTTTGCTATTAATGTAATTGAGGTTAAATATTTACCTGTGCAAAATTCGAAGTTTTTGTCATTTTTTTTTCAAGTTGGCCATTTGTGGTGAAACCCCACAGAATTGTGTTTAGCACTAAGGAAAAGAAAACCTGTCAAAGAGCAAAAGCAGAAGGAAACCACTGCCAATGTGTGCAATATAAAAATAAGTCAGGGTGAAATAATTTTTTATTTATTTGTGGCAAGGTCTCTGTTGCCTAGGCTGAAGTACTGTGGGGCAATCTTAGCTCACTATAGCCTTGAATTCGTGGACTCAGACGATCCTCCCTCAGTCTTCCAAGTAGTTGGGACTACAGGTGCGTGCCACCACCTTTGGCTAATTTGGCTAATTTTTTTTTTTTTTTTTTTTGGTTAGAGTCTCTGTCGCCCAACCTGGAGTGCAGTGGCGCGATCTCGGCTCACTGCAACCTCCACCTCCTGGGTTCAAGCGATTCTCCTGCCTCTGCCTCCTGAGTAGCTGGGACTACGGGCGCGCATCACCATGCCCGGCTAATTTTTGTATTTTTAGTAGAGACGGGATTTCACCGTGTTGGCTAGAATGGTCTCGATTTCTTGACCTCGTGGTACGCCCACTTTGGCCTCCCAAAGTGCTGGGATTACAGGCCTGAGCCACTGCGCCCGGCCCTAATTTTTTTTCCCCCCAAAGAGACGGGGTCTGACCTTGTTGCCCAGGCTGGTCTCAAACTGGGCTCAAGCAACATTTCCGCCTAGGCCTCCCAAAACGCTGGGATTGCAGGCGTCGCGCCCAGCCTGGGTGAAATAATTTGTACAACTTAGTCCTGTGGTAGTTATTTTAGCTTATTTACCTCATCGGTGAAATGGAATAACTTCCACCTGCTACACACTCAACAGATAAGAAATAACGTCTGTAAAACATTGAGTACCGCGCCTCTTAGGCTTTCTTAAGTGGAAGCTATCATCTGTCATTAGCTTTCCCTGACCCAGATGCTACACGCTGTGGGCCAGCAAGAACACAAGAAGACGGCTTCAGATAAGGGGAGAATGGCTGTTAAGGGACAGTGTTCCATTAATGCGCGCGCGCGCACACACACACACACACACACACACACACACACACACACACGGAAAGCAGCTTAAAAATCCTTTAAATGTATCCTTAAATATTCAGTTTAGGGATCCACCTCTCCTTTCTCCTGACCTGTCGGCCCTAATTAACCAGCTCCTGCCGCTGCCTTCCTTTACCCAATTGAAAAAAGCTGTGACTGCCCAAGCCTGGTCCCTCCTTTTCCACTACCTTTGAGCGCCAGAAAGCTCCAGACCAAGAGCTGCTGAGGGGCGGGGGAGGAAGGGAGTCACCAAGCCGCAGCCTGGCACCTTCCTCCCAGGGCAGGGCAAATTCATGCAAACATTGGGAACCTAAGTGCCAGGCCCCAGTCTCTGACCTCGTGGAGCCCACGGCCAACTGGGGAAGAGACTAAGCCGGGAAACACGAAGATGAGTGCTACAAAGACTTGAGCCGGGAGCTACTAGAGTATGAGGACCGACTTCCTGCAGAACGCTGCACTTCCTGCAGAACGCTGGAAGGGAGAGTCGTTTCTGAGGAAGTGACTTTTAAGCTGAGGCCTGAAGGGTGACCTGAGGGAACTGCTCTGGGCCACCGGTCGCCGCGCGGCCCCTCAGGGCCTGGGACCCGGAGCCTGGACCGAAGCTGGGCGGGAAGGCCCGAGCCAGGGGCGGAGCCACCTCGGGAGCTGGAGCCGGAAAGCGGAAGCCGAGGGCTGTTGCCCGGTGGTCGGCGGAGCGGCTGTCGCCCAGCTCTCGGCAGGCTGGGTCGCGGCAGCCCGGCCCGGAGAAGACCAGCGCCGCCTCCGCCTCCTCCCCGGCTCCCGGGCCTTTGCACCTGCCTTTTCCAGCTGGGCACAAAGCCTTTTGCTGTCGCCGTGGCGACTGGCGGCCTAGCGAAGACCTCCTTCGCTTTTAATCCCGCTCATTTTCCAGTTCATTCTCTGCTTATTTTCTGGTCAGCTTGTGACCCTGTAGGTCGGGCTCGGACAGGCGATCGATTTGCTGCCCTCAGGGCGCTGGGCGGCCTGCGGCCTCCGAGGCTGGGGCGGCCTCCGCGGTCTCCATGGTAACGGCCCCGCTGACGTCTGCGCCAAGGGGGGAAGATGCGGCCTGCCGGGCCCGCCGCCTCGCCCCCGACCTCACGGTGGGACCCCGGCCACTGAGGACGAAGGTCCCGGGCGCCGGCTCGCAGGGCAGCGGGCAGCAGGTGAGCGCCCGACGCCGGGGAGCGAGGGAGGCGGGTGCCGGGCGGTTCCAGCAGCCGCCCTGCCCCTCCCCCGCACCCACGAACACGCTCGCCCGAAACATTGCAGAGGTTTCACCGGTCGCCGCTGCGCCAGTTTTTTTGTTTGTTGTGTTTTCCCTGGCGAACTGCCGGTGGAAGAGACAGACAGCAGCTCATGGAGAGGCTGAGAGAAGCGGTTTTCTACCCAAATTGGGAGAATAACCTTCAGCAGCTGGACTCACCGACTGGTTTTCCTTCATTTTCAGTGAAATCCCATTCTCTGGCTGGAGACACAGATGGCCTCAAATGAGAGAGATGCTATATCGTGGTACCAAAAGAAGGTAATACCAATATATATATATATATATGTATTTATTTGTCAAGCATTCTTCCTGCAAAAAGCTCCCACAAAGAATATAATGTTACTTTCCCCTGAGTTTGGTAGTACCAGGTGTTCATGTATACTTCAACATAAATGAAAAAAAATGTACAAGGTCATTATGTCTTTTAAACCCGGTTCTGGGTCCCAGAATAAGGTTTTCACGCCATCTTCCTTCTCCAGGCTACGTACACAAATGCTACCACAATGCTTTGAAAGTTTGCTTCTGATCAAACTGCTTAAAAACAAAAAAAATGAAACCTTTATCTGCACAGCTCAGACTGGTACTATCAACTATCTTATTGAGCTGTTCCTTATCTTTTATTCCTCTCTAGTTTTTCTGTTGCTGTTTTCCTTAAGAAATGGAATTATTTATTTATTTTTATTTTTGTGCTGGAGTTTTGCTCTTGTCGCCCAGACTGGAGGGCAATGGCGTGACCTCTGCTCACTGCAACTTCCGTCTCCCGGGTTCAAGCAATTCTCCTGCCTCAGCCTCTGGAATAGCTGGGATCACAGGTGCCTGCCACCACGCTCGGCTGATTTTTTGTAATTTTAGTAGAAACAGGATTTCACCATGTGGGCCAGGCTGGTCTCGATCCTCTGACCTTAGGTGATCCACCCGGCCAGGAAGTGGAAGTATCTTTTAAGATAATATTTAATTGAGATATTTTGGTCATTGCTTTTGAACTTACTTTTAGGTCCAGCTCTTTTAGATTTTTGAAGGAAACAGAGCTTGGAAATATTAATTTATTCTAACTCTGAGAAACACAAACATTTTCCACATAGCATATTGATAATAGGCTCATGACTTTTGTGGGGCTTGACTTAATAATGTAAGGATTTCCTTTGCATCATTTATATAGACTGCTCCCTCTTTCAGATTGGAGCATACGATCAGCAGATATGGGAAAAGTCAATTGAACAGACTCAGATTAAGGTAAATTGGTTTCTTTGATTCTGCCTATGTTTCACTGCGTTAATGTGAAGAGTGGAATTGTACTTACCTGGTAAACTCTGCACTCATCTGCCAGTATGGCATTCTTTAATCTTTGAAGATTATAAGAAAAACAGTGCAAGCATAATGAGAAATGACACTTGATTTTTGGCCTCACTATCAGGAAAACAGGAGTGAGTTAGTTGGTCTATGATGAATTAGAGAGCAAATGGTCCATATAAATAGGGCTGGGGTTGCTTAGCTCTGGCCAGTTTTTACCATATAGCAGTGCAGGTCCAGATATTGCCAGTTTCAGATTTTTCAAAAGAAGCTGGAAATACACATTTTTATATGAAATATATTGTGCATTTTATGTCGGATTTTTCTTTTTCCTCCTCCTCTGCAAGCCAAATAAAATCCATTTGTGGCCTGAATCCAGCCTACGGTCCCTGGTTTTTTTCAATCACTGGTTTAGAGTATGGTTTTAAGTTTTTCAGGTTCTTAAACTTTTTTCTACACAGCTCTTAGAACTGAGAGGATTCTTATTTTATACTAACCAAGTGACTAAAACCTGATATGTAATTCAGAATGCCAGTTGATTAACTTATAATAGGGGAGGAGACGGTTAAATAATCTTCTGATATTCCAAAGTCAGAGTTGTGAGGTTAAGCCATTTGGGGATTCGGGTACAAATTCGTCATGGAATGGTTGCTTGGTAACCAAATGTAATTGGATAGTCTTGAGATGTGTAAAAGCCCTAAAGACCCATTCTTGGCCCTCAAAAGAGTGTACCTCTCTGCCGACTTTAATACTTACTTAGATCTTATGGATTCAGGGCCTCACTTCTTGGAAAGTGCTGATAAATACCAACAGATTCTTGTTTTTGGACTCTTTTAAAAAGACTTGCTTCAGATCCTTCATTAATACTTAAAAAAAAAACTGGGTGAATATAACTTAATATTATCTGTTCTGTTAAATAGGCCAATCAAGTAGAAAGCTACTTGAATGACAAGTAGCTGACTAACTTTTCACAGTTTTGTATACTCCTTGATTATTTATATTAATGGGAGGTGGGGTTAGGATGAGTAAGTCCCCAGATTTTATTTTGTAACTCTCTAAATCCTGTCCTGTTATTTTTTTGAGTTGCTAAACATCATTAATAGTAAAGTGAAATTCGATATTGTTTTGTGTTCTCTAGCCTTGTGATCTAACCTTCTTCCCCTAGCCAATTTAAAGATTTCCTTCACTCTTATTTCCATACGTTCCTTTTAGTGTACCATATCACAGTTATTTATTAACCTGTGTGTGTTCATAGGCCTCAAGGGCGGGAAGTGTGTTTGTATTCCACTCTTAGAACATCTTGATTCATACTAGGACCTCTGTCTGTTGTTATATTTAATTGAACCTATATTTTTACTCGTTATCTCATAGGGTAATCTCCCTAACCATGCCTTAATGTATGCTTTTAAATTTAGCAGCAGTGGAAAGAATGAAATTTAAAATAACTATAAACATTTACCGAGATTTCAGTGTGTAAGTAGAAAGCTGAAAAAAGAATTACTGAGCTAATGTGCAACACATGTACTAGGTGCTGAGAATACAGTGAAAAAGATGGATATGATTGTTGCCATCATGGCTTTCACAGTCTGACTGATAGTGATGGGAGAAAAGCCAAGATATCTTTTTAATATGCTTAAGTCTTCAACAATGACCAAAGTATAGCATGCAAAAAAATTTAATGCTAAATTTAAAAGTACATTAATACATATACAATTTTTGAAAACAAAAGAATAAAACAGAAAAATTTTAAAATAAAAATATTAATATATCACGGTACTGTTATGCAAGTAAAATTATATATGTAAAAGTATCATTCAGAATTATAAAAGACATAAATTTTAAAGATCTTGGATTATGAAAAATGGTATGAACTCTTCCATAAGCATTTATTGAGCTACAGTGTTTAAGGCATTTTGTTAGGTGCTGAGCACAAGAGGAAAAGTATTAGCAAACAGAAGTAGAAGACTGTTTAAGGGAAGAGCAAGTAGCCCAATATGATTGGAGAATAAGCTACATAGATGGAGTGCTAGGCTGTAAATTTGTTTGGAGGTTACTTGACTGCTTGACTCAGAACTTTAAATACTATTCTGTGGAAAACTGAAAGGTTTCAATGGTTTTTGAGTAGAGGAGTCACATCGTATCTTTGTTTTTGAAAGGCAGAAATAAAAATACAGACATTATAGTAAAATCTGTGGAATATTTCCAGAGTAGTACTTATTATTCTCAATGTCTATATTAACAAAAAATATCTAATTTGACTAGGAAGGTTTACAATGTATCATATTAATATTAAAGAATCTAGAGAAAGAAAATAGTGATCAATCAAAGCAAAACAGGGAAAGAAATGGCAAAAATAAAATGAATGCATCCATTACATATTTAACAAATATTTGTTCACTGCTTATGTGCTATGTGTTAGACACTAGCTATGCCTACATAATGATGAGTAAAAACATTCAATACTTTTTTCTTTTTTTTTTGAGGCAGGGTCTGGCTCTGTTACCCAGGCTGGAGTGCAGTGGCACAAACATGGCTTACTGCAGCCTCAACCTGCTGGACTCAAGTGGTACTCCCACCTTAGCCTCCTCAGTAACGGGGACCACAGGCATGCACCAACAGGCTTGGCTAACTTTTAATTTTTTTGTAGAGACAGGGTCTTGCCATGTTGTCCAGGCTGGTCTTGAATTCCTGAGCTCAAGCAGCGCTTCCACCTTGGCCTCCTAAAGTGCTGGGATTATAGGCATGAGTCACTCTGCCCAGCTGCATTCAATGTTTTTTTTCATGGAATTTATGATGAAGTAGATGAGAAACAATAATAAAAATAATCCTTCTAATACATACAAATTACTTTGTGGCAAATACTAAGAAGAGAGCTATTTGCAAGCTACTACACTTATAATAAGATAAATAAATGAGCCTAGTTGCTGGGCAAGGTGGCTCATTCCTGTAATCCTAGCACTTTGGGAGGCTAATGTGGGAGGATCGCTTGTGCCCAGGGGTTTGACACTAGCCTGAGAAACATAGGGAGATTCTGTCTCTACAAAAAATAAAAATAAAAACTAGCTCGCCATGATGGCATCTGCCTATGGTTCTAACTACTCAGGAGGCTGAGGTGAGAAGATTGCTTAAGCCCAGAGGTCTAGGTGACAGAGACCCTGCCTCAAAAAAAAAAAAAAAAAAAAAAAGTCCTGGGATGGTGGCTCATGCCTGTAATCCTAGCATTTGGGAGAGCCGAGGCAGGCAGATTGCTTGAGCTTGAGAGTTCAAGACCAGCGTGGGCAACCTGGTGAAACTCCTTCTCTGCTAAAAATACAAAACTTAGCTGAGCATGGTGGCACGCATGTGTAGTCCCACCTACTCAGGAGGCTGAGGCAGGATAGTCACTTGAGCGTGGAAAGCAGAGGTTGCAGTGAGCAAGATCACATTAACCTAGTTAAGAAGGTCAGATAAGCTTTCAAAAAGGAATTGATGCTTAAAATGAGATCTGAAGCATGAGTAGAAGTTAATTAGGCCAAGAACAAATATACTAATTCTACACAAACTTTTTCAGAAAATAGAGAAGGAAATATACTTATCAGCTCATTCTATGAGACTAGCATTACTGTGATACCTAAGCCAGATAAAGACACCATAAGAAAATTCATTGTGAATGTATGTGTGAAAATCTTTAACAATATATTAACAAAACCAATTCAATAACACATAAAATGGTTTATCTACTGTGATCAAATGGGAGTTATCCCAGGAATGCATTAATTTGAAAACAAAGTAATATGCCATATTAATAGGATAAAGGACAATCATATGATCTTTTCAGTAAATACAGAAAGAGCATTTGATAAAATTCAATGCCCATTAACTATAAACTAGGAATAGAAGGGAACTTCCTCAACTTATTAAAGGTTGTCTAGGAAAAGCCTACAACAAACATCACACTTAATGGTTAAAGACTGAATGTTTTACCCTAATATAAGGAACAATGCAAGGATATCTGCTCTTACCATTTTTATTTAACACTGTATTGGGAGTCCTACCCAATGTAATAAGCAAAGGAAAAGAGATGAAAGGCATTGAGATGGAAAGGAATATAAAAATGCCTTTACTCATGACAACATAATCCAGTATTTAGAAAATCCTAAGTATATAAAAAAATTATAGTAACGAATGTGGCAAAGTCTTCAAATACAGGATCACTATACAAAAATCAGTTGTATTTCTATATACCAACAATGAGTAACTAAAAATACAATTAAAACAATTTTATTCATAATAGCATCAGAGAAAATAAAACATTTAGGAATGCTGACATAGAAGGTGTAAGACCCATACATGGAAAACTATAAAACATTGCTTAGAGAAATTAAAGAAGGTCTAAATAAATGGAGTAACATTTCGTGTTTATGATCTGGAAGATTCAAGATTGTTAAAATGTCAGTTTTCTCCAAATGTATCTATATATTCAAAGTAATCCCTTCAAAATTCCAGCAGACTTTTGTTTTTGGTAGAGATCGATGAGCTAATTCTCAAATATATGTATATAATGCAAAGGATGTAGAATATTCAAAAAGAGTAGAGTTGGAAGATTTACATTACAACATCTCTAATACATCTGTTAGAACAAAATTAAAAAGACGGATGATACCAAGTGTTGGCAAGGTGATGGAGGAAACACAACTCTTCTATACTGCTGGTGGGCATGGAAAATGGAAAATAGTTTGGTAGTTTCTTAAAATGTTAAATATATACTTCTCACATGACCCAACATTTCCACTTCTAGGGTATGTACCTAAATTTAGGGTATCTACTATATTTAACATTTTCTATCCAATAGAAATGAAAACATAAGTACATGCAAATGTTCATAGTAGCACTATTCTTAATAGCCAGAAATAGGAAAAATCCACATGTCCATCAACTGGTTAATCAACTGGTATAAACAAATGTGTTATACAATGAAATACAATTCAGCAATAAAAACTGTTAATATGTATTACGTCATGGATGAATATAAAAAATGTTGTGCTAAGTAAAAGGAGCCAGACACAAAAGACAACATATTGTGTGATTCTGTTTAGAAAAAAAGGAAAAATCATAAAGTATTTCACAAAAAATATAAATGTATACATATTCACAATGAAAATTGTTTTCTAAATTTTAAAAAAATGTTTTATATTTTGTAGAGACAGGGTCTTACCATGTTGTCTAGGCTGATCTTGAACTCCTGCCCTGGCCTGCCAAAGTGCTGGGTTACATATGTAAGTCACCACACCCAGCCCTAAAATTTTTTAATTGAGAGAGTATATTAAATCTAATGGATAACATTATTTTCAATGATGAAGCTTAACTTAGTCCTCCAAAATAAGCCTAAAATAAGAATGTAGAACATCCCCTTTTATGACTCTTTAGCATACTGTTGGAGATACATTTGCTAAGATGAGCAAAACATTCTAATATTTTCTTTTTTGTATATTAAAAAAATTAGAATGAACAAAAATCACTGAAGTTAGCATGGTTTTGTACTTAGAGAATAAAAAAGGCACAGAGACTCCTACAGCTGTATTTATAATGTTTTATTTCTTAAGCAGGATGGTGGCTATCTGTTAGATGACACTCCTCATTAAAAATGACTGTTTGAGGCCAGGCATGGTGGCTCACACCTATTTCCAGCACCCTGGGAAGCTGAGGTTTTTGCTTGAGGCCAGGAGTTTGGGACAAGCCTGGGGATCATAGCTCTACAAAAAAATATAAATAAAAAAATTAGCTGGGTGTAGTGGCATGTGCCTGTAGTCCCAGATACTTGGGAAGCTGAGGTGAGGGGATTGCCTCAGCCCAGGAGTTTGAGGCTGTGGTGTGCAATGATTGTGCCACTGCACTCCAGCCTGGGTGACAGATCAAGACCCTGTCCTGAAAAAAAACAAAAAATAAAACAATAGTTTAAATACATGCATGAGTCTCTCCTGAAACCTCGTTAAAATAACAAGAAGTAAGAAAAAAACATGTCAGCCTACAAGGACTAAAAGAATGGAAGAAGAGACTGCAGTAAATGAGAGCTATCAATACAATTTTGAAGGCTGGAAAATGAAGAAAATAAAAATCTAAATGTCTGTAATAGGAAAGCTAATAGGAAACAAGTAAAACCCCTGTGATTAACTTCTGAAAGACTCAGGAATTGGATGTCTCGGGTCTGTCTGTAGGAGTGAGGTAGAACTAAAGTCAGGATTGTTTGAGCATGTGTATAAGGGATAACAGACCTACCCCAGAACTTCCTTATTCCATGTAGCCACATAGTTACACTTGTCTTCCTCTGACAGAAGACCGGATTGAAGCTTGCTTTCTGGAGAGGCTGAGCCAGAGAAGTTCTGGATTCTGGAAGACCAGAAAGAAACCAGAGTCTGGTGAGATGCTGCACTAATGGGATTAAGTGAAAGTCTGGTGGTCAGGTTTATAACCTGCAAACAGAAGACTGGAATTCCTTTTCGTCGAAACTGACTGACCAAAGAGAACCTAAGGATACTGAAAAGTGAAATGGCTGACCACCCCTCTATAGTGAGGCCCACTATTCAAAATCCTTTGCCCGTTGCACACTGAGCTGAATTATAAATGGATAATTAAAGATCATCAAATATTTAAGACCTAAAGAAAAGAGAAAAGCAATGCAGGAATCACAAGATCAAATATAATCACTACCTTTAAGGAACTGGATACTATAAAAAGACTGCAATGTCTTCAGGAGATCTATTGTGTAACATTGGTGACTGTAGTTAATAAAAGTATGTTGTATTTTTGAAAAATGCGAAAATGGATATTAGGTATTCTCACCACACAAATAACCTTGCCAGGTAATACATGTGTTAATTCACTGGATTTAGTCAATCTACAATGTATATCTACTTCAGGATATGTTGTACACACTGAATACATAGAATTTTATCTGTCAGCTTTAAATTAAAGAATGATTAAAAAATAGACTATAGATGAGAAAGTGAGAAGACTAGAAACTGAATCAGAATAAATTCAGTGGTGGCTGGGTACAGTGTCTCATGACTGTCTGTAATCCCAGCACTTTGGGAGGCTGAGGTGGATCGTTTGAGCCCAGGGGTTCAATATTGGACTGGGCAACATGGTGAAACCCTGTCTCTATAAAAAATACAAAAAATTAGCTGGGCTTGGTGTTGCACGCCTGTAGTCCCAGCTACTCGAGGTGGGAGATCATCTGAGCCTGGGAAGTTGAGGCTGCAGTGACCCATAATTGTGCCACTGCACTCCAGCCTGGGTGACAGAGTGGGACGCTGTCTCAAAAATAAATACATAAATAAAAATCAATGGAAAAGTTCGAAGATAAAGGTGAGGCCATTTCCCAGAAAAGTAGTGTAGAAGAACAACAAAAAAGAAAATAGCAAAGGGAATGCAATTCATGCAGGAAATATGACATCCAACTGATAGATGTTCCAGAAAAAGGGAATATATATAGAGGAAGAAATTATCTAATAACTAATTCAAATAAAATTTCCCTAGAAATGCAGTATTGTATATGTATTTCCAGATTAAAAGGATCTTTTGGTTGGGCATGGTGGCTCATACTTGTAATCCTAGCCCTTTAGGAGGCTGAGGCAAGAGAATCTCTTGAACCCAGGAGTTTGAGATCAGCCTGAGCAACAAAGTGAGATCTCATCTCTACAATACAATTGAAAAATCAGCCATGTGTGGTGGTGTGTGCCTGTAGTTGCAGCTACTCAGAAGGCTGAGGTGGAAGGATCCTTTGAACTTGGGAGTTCAAGGCTGCAGAGATCCGTGAATGCAACACTGCATTCCAGCCTGGGCAACAAGTGAGACTGTGTCAAAAGAAAAAGGGGAAAAAAGAATCTTTTGAGTCGTCAGCACTAAGAAACATTATCGTGAAATTTCAGAGCATTTAGAATTAGAGCTTGGGTTAAGCATGGAGCAGAGTGAAGGATCAAAACAGACCATATAGACAAAAATTGGGAGTCAGAGATACTGCCCCTTAGCAGCAACTTCTAGCTCATTTGGAAGCTAAAAGATAATGGACTATTCAGTGGAAGGTGAAAGACAGTGGCACATGAGAGAAAGTGATTTTCAACCTAAAGTTTCATGCCCAGCCTAATTATTAATCAACTGCAGAGGCACCACTGATATATTTTGAACTTCAACTTTTAAAATTTATATCCCATACTTCCTCAGAAAGCCGTGGGTGAACATGTACTGTATTATAATCCATGAATAAGCCAGAAAGGAATTCATAGTATCAGAAAACAGGATAGCGAACACAGAAGTAAAAGGAATTCCAGGATAATTTCAAATGTCTCAGGATGATAGCTTATATCTGACTTAGAAAACAACCAGTCCAGAATGGAATATGAGAACAGAAAATTGGTATAGACATCTTGAAAGAGGAAAAATAAGCCGATACATGTTGTGTATGAGCATAGTAGAAGCAGATATGTAACAGAGGGAGTTTGAAAATGAATTAGTAATAGATGCATAGAAGATTAAGTGAATGAAAAAAATGAGGCAATTACAGTTTTGGGACAAGCAAAAAATTTATGAGAGGAAAATAGCTCAGTACTTGGCTTAGCTGTGAACAGTATTATAACTCTCTGAACATTGATTTAACAAAAATTGGTGATAAAGTCCTATTGGGGGAAAAATTATAGTTCAGGAGGGCATGTGTGTTTGGTGATGTTATAATCATTAATAGTGTGTAGTATATGTCTTGCATTATTTTAACACACACAAACTTAATTGATCCTCACAATAATCTTATGAGGTATGTGCTGTTATCATCCCTTTTTTATAGGTGAAGGAATTGAGGCAGAGAAAGGCTAAATAAGAAAGTTATTTCCTCATCTTCAACAGTAAGAAAGAATGGATAACATCTGAAATTGTTAAAAGCACTGTAAATATTTTGTTTTAGAAGTAAAGAGAAAAGAAATAGCTAGGATGTATGAATCAAGGGTAAGGAAGGGTGAGACTGGAAGGTTATTTTTTGTTAGCCTTGTAATATGAGTATTGTTTTAATACAAATAAAGATTCAATTTTTAAAACATTTTTTCTTCCAAAACCAAATATAATGAAGTTACCTGAGTAATAGGATATACATGTATCTACTTATAAGATGGGTAGAATAGGTATATGAGCATTTAGGTATATTGGCTATACCAATATGCTTTATTTATACCAGTGGCAAAAACAATAAATTTCATTAGCATTTAGGCAAGAACTTTAGAATCAGATGGACTTAACTGTATATTATAGTAATTTTCCTAATTACTACCTGTAATTATTCTTACCTATAAGGAGGTTATATGGCTGCACTTACTGTCATGTGACTTGCAGTGCCTTCTTATAAGAGGAGAATTCTTCCTGGCCCCACAGACTTCCACCTTGGTCACGGGATTTGCTTGGCCAGTGGAATGTGAGCTGAATGTGACCTTCCCTCCCGTGACCCCAATTCTTTTCCTTTTCTTACCTTTCTTCTTCAGTGAATTGCTAAAGTACTAAAGTCAGGGTTGAGAGTTCTTCACCTTCACACTAATCTCACATTTTCAGTTATCAGTACTTCTGGATTATACCTGCTAAATATCTTTTGAACATGAGTCCTCTTCCCAGTTCTTGCTTCTAATTACCTGGTCTGACCTATTGTCTACTCATCTGGTTGGCAAACTATTGCCTATGTGCAAATCTAGCTGGAACACAGGTTTAGTGCTTTACGTATTTATATTCAATGTCTGTGTCTGCTTTAGTGCTGCAGTGGCTGAGTGGTTGTTTTCGGCACCAGAGACCAGTTTCATGGAAGACAGTTCTTCCGTGGACTGGTGTGGGGGGGATGGTTTTGCAATCATTCAAGCATATTACATTTATTGTGTACTTTATTTCTATTATTATTACATTGTAAGATATAATGAAGTAATTATACAGCTCACCATAATGTAGAATCAGTGGTAACCCTGAGCTTGTTTTCCTGTAACCAGACAGTCCCATCTGGGGGTGATGGGAGACAGTGACAGATCATCAGGTATTAGGTTCTCATAAGGAGCACACAACCTGGGTCCCTCAAATGTACAGTTCACAATGGGGTTTGCACTCCTGTGAGAATCTAATGCTGCCACTGATGTGACAGGAGGTGGGACTCAGGTGGTAATTCGAGCAGCGAGGAGTGGCTTTAAATACAGGTGAAGCTTCTCTTGTTCTCTCACCTGCCACTCACCTTCTGCTTTGCATCCTGGTTCCTAACAGGCCACCGACCACTATTCCATGGCCTGGGGGTTGGGAACCCCCAGTATAGTCCATAAAGCCTAAAATACCATCTGGCCCTTTGTAGTAAAATTTTGCCCACTCCTGATTAGATTACCAGAGTAGGTTTTTTAACTTTCTAACTGCTTTCTCTTGCCTCCTGTCTCTCCTTACTCTCTATCTGTTCTCTATAACAAAGCCAGGTTGTTGTTTTTTGGTTTCTGTTTTAACAGAAATTTGTTTTTCTCATACTTAAAACTGTTTTCTGACTTCCTAGTATCCTTACAATAAAATCGTACTCCCTAGCATTATAGTGTTCACATTATGGCTTCTTCTCACCTCACAAGTTTACCTCTCTTACCCATGTCTGGACCTCTTCTCACTTCCACGCTATGCTTTGGGCCTTCTTAAACTTTCTTTTGTTTTTACATGCTGTCTCTTATTCATGGGTCATCTCATATGCTTTTCTTTTCTTTTCTTTTTTCTTCTTTTTTTTTGTGAGACGGAGTCTCGCTCTGTCGCCCAGGCTAGAGGGCAGTAGTGTGATCTCGGCTCACTGCAACCTCCGCCTCCCCAGTTCAAGCAATTGTTCTGCCTCAGCCTCCCAAGTCACTGGGACTATGGGTGCATGCTGCCATGCCTGCCTTATTTTTTGTATTTTAGTAGAGGGTTTCACCATGTTGCCCAGGCTGATCGTGGACTCCTGAGCTCAGGCAATCAGCCTGCTTCAGCCTCCCAAAGAGCTGGGATTACAGGCATGATCCTATCCTTTTCTTGATTCCTCATTTTGCTATATCCCATGTGCTACTTTACAAATTCTTATACATCCTTCAGGTATCAGGTTAGATATTATTTTTCTTTGTAGAAATCTTTGTGCTATACTTGCCTTGTAATTGTTGTTTTGTTGTTCAACATATGCCCTAAATCAGGGGTAACTTCCCTCTCTCTACCAGACTGTATAAACAGTTCAATTATTTTGATGGTAATAAAATGGAAAATTTCAGCACACTAGGAAATAGAGATATGTTACAGAGTTTCACTTGTTTTTTATTGCCTGTTTAATACAAAGTCCAATTATATTGCACCAATACCTCTAGTGTTTTTGTTCCTCTTCCAAAAAGTAGGAACTACATTTGTCAAGTGGTTCTGAGCTTGTGATGATGTTGCACAGTTATGTTGGGGGCAAACAATAGAGAGGGCTGCATACAGCCTGTGGCTGGGGATTTGCAGAGAATTTCCAGACCACTATTCTGGCAGCTAGTGATTATCCTGATTCTCTCCTACAGCCTTTTCCTGGGCTGCTGGGGTAGAGGTTGTGGCCAATAAGGAAATCCATTCATAGTGTCCATTGAACCTCTCAAGCAATCTTGTTTGATCTTAAACAAAACCTCTCTCTACATTGATTAGGGATGCATTTTGCGTCATATAGCAAAAGGCAGGATAGTGAAGTGGTTAGAGCACAGAATTTAGCGTGAGAATGACAGGGTTGGAATCTCTGCCTTGGTTGCCTCATCTGTAAAGTGAGGATAAATAAAGGTACTGATCTCATAGGACACTTGTAAGGACTAAATGAGTCAAACAGGTTAAT